GTCTTTAAGACATTCCTGCAGTTTAACTAATTGGTGTGTGTTATCTGGCTTCATGGACAGTAGAGGGGGAGCCACTCACTACTACCATTGAACAACTGATACAAAGCAAGATGGAGTCGTGCTTTTATGTTGTTCATGCCAAATTCTGACCTTACCATCCAAATAAAGCAACATTTTTCCAAATTTTGATGTTGCCTCAGTTTCCTGTTCTTCGTTATAAAGGAGTGGAACAGAACATTCAAAGTGACTTGAATCACCTATCTTCCCCATTCGGATGCTTTAGAACTTCAGTAAAATGGCCTGGTAAATGGCCTGTATTTGTATAGCGCTTTACTAGTCCCTAAGGACCCCAAAGCGCTTTACATATCCAGTCATCCACCCATTCACACACACATTCACACACTGGTGATGGCAAGCTACATTGTAGCCACAGCCACCCTGGGGCGCACTGACAGAGGCGAGGCTGCCGGACACTGGCGCCACCACCAGTAGGCAACGGGTGAAGTGTCTTACCCAAGGACACAACGACCGAGACTGTCCAAGCTGGGGCTCAAACCGGCAACCTTCTGATTACAAGGCGAACTCCCAACTCTTGAGCTACAATCGCCATGTGGAACATGTCTACATATGTATTTCCACCGAGCTGCTGCCATATGATTGGCTAATTAGATATTTGTGTTAACAAGCAGTTAACAGGCATACCTGATTAAGTGGTCAGTGAACGTATATAGCACCCTCAGATCATAAACTACTTATTCTTAAAATAAATATGCTATCAACAAATGCTTAAGCCCTCTACTCTCAAAGGAACTTTCAATATGCTTAATAACAAAGAGTTTGTTTTAAAGGAAAAACGTATTGTTTTCATTATATCGTCATAAAGATTCTTGATAATAATCCAAACAGTAATGAAACAAAGACTTGTTATAAATGGTTGTGAATTCAGGTATCTGGCTTAACATTAGCTAATATTATCTATACCCTATGAGGTAATTGTCAACAAGCAAGATATTACCAACATACCCCAGATATTTTCCCTTTTGTTTTTTCTGCCGACACACTCACAGTTATGCTTTCTAAATGAAAGTGTGGATAAACATGTAATTTATTTTTACAAAAGGGTGAGAAAAAAAGGGGGTTTTCTCTTTTTTTTTAAATTTCTGGTTGGCTGTTTGTTAAAGGACGATATTCTCCAAAGTGGTAGCATAATAACCAGCTCTGCTTTTCAAAGCAGTAATAAAGTGTAATTTATTTTCTTTTTGTGTTCAAAGTGCTGGTTTCCCTTGAGGAAAACAGCAGCAGAAAAACTGTGCTGTAAAAAAAAAAAAGCATCATGTAAGCTATAAAGTTTCACCTTTGATCTCCGTGACCCTTAGCATCCTGCCAGCAGAAGTGTCCTTTTAATCACAGCTCTAAATCTGTTCTGGGTCCATGAGTGGCTGACCCTGCCACCTGACCTTCGTCGTGGGGGGAGGTAGGCATTAACACAGCAGCTCGGGGATCGATAAAGAATTAGAAGATTCACAAGCCATATTGCTTCTGCTCCTTGATCACACAGGAAGGATGGCAGTTGACAGTAATCCCTTTCAATTGTTATTAATCCTGCAAAATGACAATCTGCAGCGACACAATCTTCTCTTATCCCTCTTGGGGACATTCACTGATGTTTGTAAAGTAAACAATAGTAATTATAGCACACATATACTTGTGTATTTGTGCTATTTGCACAGATTTGTTAAGCATTTGTCCCTGCAATGAGCAGAATCACAGTAAAGACCTAAGACAGTGGAAGCTGTGTGTTTTAATAAGGATGCGTCTTTGTTTTATTACTGATAGGTAGTAAACTACTCCCCTTTTATATTAGCAGTTGGGGCCAAGCTGCAACATCCAGGGTAAAAAATGATGTGGAACTGGCAAAAATTGTGGATCTTACAGTGGCCACTTAAAGCTGAATCTAAAAGCACTGTTATTCCAGTGAAGTCCAGTTTTAACATTACTTACAGATATAAAAAATGTGTTTACAGCATGGTAAAAAAACCCAAAAAACAACTTTAATTACAAATTCATATTTTTTAATTAACTCATCCATTTGGATAATATAGTTAGTGTGGCCCTCTGATTGACAGGTGTCCTGAAACAGGCAGCTGGAGTCATTAAACTCCTCAGTGTTTGAGGTGCTGGTCCTTCTGAAAGTAACACCTGAGTGGTACAGCCCATCTAAGCAGTCTGATTTTTTTTTCTCTTTCTTGTATTTTACTGGTCTGTTACCGAGGACTAATTAGCATATATGTGTCTCTGGCTTTGGTCCTCATGGAGTTCATGAATGCAGCTTGCTGACCATGCCTGTTAGCGCTAGCTGATAAATTATCCTGCCACTCTTTTTTCCATGTAAGGTCACTTCTGGCTCCACAAAACCAAAATGGGAGGTACTAGAAACACGAACATTGTTTTGCAATCTAAAACATAAAGCAAAGTTAAACATTGACGTACACCTTTCTACACCATCCAGTCTCCAGAAATTTGCAGGCAATGTGCAAGTGACTTAAATGTGCATTCTTTGTATTGGCCAGCAGGGGGTGATTCCTGGTTCGCCTAAAAAGCTCTGATTGGAATGATGTAGATGTCTGCTGAGGTTTTGCAGACTAACTATGTAATGTTAACTTGTCCCCCATTGTGGATGTGTGACAACCATGGTGGCAATATAGGATTAAGTGAATAAGGCCTAGAGATGAGCCCACAACTATCACAACCATGAGGATGAATATATAGCTATTCTCTGACCAGTTGTGAGTGGTCGCTAGTTTGATGACGGTGACTGGGAAAATGACTGAGAAAGCCCCAGCCAGGCCTACAGCACCTGATTTCACCCAGTGAGAGCCAGAAACTTATTTTAAACAGAGTTAAGTCTATTTTGTAAATAATGGTCCCATTTAGAGAAAAAAGTCAATAGCATCAGGGTACACTTTAGGGCCTGGTCCCCGCATGAGCATACAGTCTCCTCAATCAGAATCTTGTCATGCCCAGTTGAAAAATTCAGAGGTGACAAGGGGCAGCGTTTTGACTAGAGGCCTAAAAACACCAGTCATCATGGCAGCCCTAATAGGCTTACTTCACCAATGCTCCAGTTGCAAATGACCGAGAAAAGTATGACCTGTTTCTACAAAATTCTCCCTTAACTTTTGCACAGTCACAGAAAGTAGTGACTCAGCATCTATATTTATATTAAGTCTGTGATCCAGTAGAAACTTGGATATTTTCGTCCAGTCTGCACAACATTTCATGGCAGTCCATCTTGCTGACACATTTCACTGCAAACCAGAAATGTTAACTTCATTTTTGAGCAACGGGAAAAGCTAGTGGATAACCAAACTTGGCCAGATTTGTCGTTACAGCGACACGAATGTCCAAAAAAGCCAGCAAAAATATTGATGTGCCACGAGTTAGCCCTGCTATACTACATCGATAGCATGGCTAAAACTCTAGTTTAGTTTTCTCACATTTAGTCTGCATGGTGTACATAATTTTATTCTGACATTCAAGTGGGTTCACACTATCTCTCCCTGGCATCATGCGGTAAACCCCTGCTGAGCACCTCTCCCATTAAAATTCAGATGGATCAACCCTCCCATAATTCATTTCTGCTCTGGTGGGAGCATTGTGACAGAGAACAAGTGGCCATCTAGATGTTTGATGAGCATGATAATTATTTTAGCCATATGCCAAGGCTTTGCAAAGCACCTGATCAGAACCCAACATCAGGCGGAGATGGACTCGAGGCAAAGACACTGTTTGCCATTGACAAACTCTCTTTATTGACATTCTCTTAATTCATTATTTGCTCCTTTATCTCTCTCGCTATTTGCCAGTTTTTTGGGGATGTTCTTTTTTCCAATCTTTTTCATCTTGGCCATTACTTCAACCTCTCACGCCCGCACCCTGCTCACAGTTCCCTCTCTCACCCCCAGCCCCCACCTCCACCCCCATCCCGTTCACTTGATTATGTCGAGCCAGAGTCGGGGAAAGTGTCACTATGGAAACAGGGGCCGAGGCAGCGAAGGGCTGTCGATGTGAGAGAGGGGAAAAGGAGACAAAAAAGACTAAGAACTGGTAGGTGCTGAGGAATCCAGGAGTGGTCTTCAGATGCAGATATTCAAATAAAAAGCAGGGAGCAAATGATTCTTTGTATTTTTGATGTGGAAAATCCAGATGCAAATCTTTGTTGGATTTTTTTAATTCTTTGTGCAATAAGTACCAACCTTTCTTATTTCAGTCCACTACTTTAGCAGTTTCTCTTCACAGTCAGACATTCTCGAATCCTTAAATATCCCCTCAACCAATTTTTAATCCTCCCCCGTCTCTTCTGGGATTGATTTCCCTTATTAAAAAGATACCGATCAATAAATGATAAAGTCATTCACCAATGTTACACTGGAGCATCAATAAAATATGGAGTTGAATTGATTAAAAGATATGTTGATGGGCAGAAAATGAATGAAAAATGTTGTTCCTGAAATCTATCCTTTCTTTGGTGAATACTGCAAATTAAATATATTTGATTGACTGGATAGTTTTTTAAAATTGTGTAAAGTTTGATTCAGGGGAACCATAGTGCCTTTTTTAAAAACATTTTTATTAGTTAGTTTTAAGCATTAGTCCGTTCTTAAATAATCAGATTGTTAAAATCAGCCTCATGAGTTTCAGAAATTGGATTTTCTTAACCTTGGAGTACAGAAAACTCACCTTAGCCGATGAGTTTTGGATGCAATTTCAGTTCCAAGGCAACATACTTTGCAGCAAAGCTGAAAGTAATGATAAAAGCCCTGATTTCTTTTGTCACCCTTGAGTTTGAGGGTGGTGTAGGAGAAAGGAAAGACAGAAAGGAGCAGGTTAGAAAAGGGGAGGAGTTGAAAAAGGAGGGGAAAAAAGATGGGGTGGGGGCAGCCGCATGGGCGGGAGGGAGGGGAGGTATGATAGTGAGAGGGGTTGAGACAGTAGCAGAGTGAGCCAGAGGCAGGGAGGAGGCAGCGAAGGAGCAGCTCTCCTCCTGAGCCTCCATCCCAGAGAAGACAGAGAGGGAGAAGACAGAGAGAAGTCGACAGTCCCGCCTCACCGGCGCGTCTCCTGCAGCTCCTGAAGTTAAAACCGAGACATCCGTTGTGAGGTACGTTGCCTCTCACTGCCTCCTTTTGTGCATCACCTCCTTTCATCTTTATCAAAACTGTGAGCCAGCAGCAGCAGTCAGGCGCTGGTGATGTTAAGTAGTGTGTGTGTGTGTGTGTGTGTGTGTGTGCAGAGATCCTGCCAAGTACAAGGCTTTTTCAGCAGCAGGTTGCTCTCTCTCTCTTTATATGTGTCTATGTGTGTGCCTGTGTGTGAGTGAGACTACATGGAGCACAATGGGGTGTGATTTATTATAATGTCAGAGGCGAGTCTGCTGAGATGTAGTTTCTCTTGACATTTGAACACTGATAACACTCCCTTCAATCAGAGTCCTTCTCGGCAAACTGTGACCTATTGTCACAAAGGACACCGACAAGAGTTGGTTAGTTTAGAAACTTGACTCTGATGGTGCTTCTGCTTTCATCTTTTCTTCTTTCTACTGGCACACAACTGAGCAAAAACTGGGGGGAAAGGCTTGTTGGCTCTATTTCTTGTGAAGCTTGCTTTAAATGCTATTCTTTTGATGGGCGTTAATCTTTATTGGTTTAAAAGAGTCACGCTGATCATTTTGCACACTTAATTAATATAATGCCATGTTTGATTTGTGCTAAAAAGTAACAACAAAATTCAAAGTGCAAAAAAAAAAACCCCCAAAGTGGCAAAACCACATCGTATCTAATGAACCCGTCTTTGCTGTAACTCTTTCCCTGACCTAACTCTCTCTTCATTAGTGCCATTAAGGGTGGTCTAATGTTATCAGACACATTGGCTGTATTGATCTGCTGACCCGTTCCCAGTGGAGCAATAGCCCAGACGAGCTCCCAGTCTTAATCTTTTACTGTGCTTTTTATGCAGCGGATACCAGAGGAGAGGGGAGAGTTATTGAGTGCAATAGCGCAGGGATTGTCTTTGTGCAGATGTTATGATGTCATAGTAGCTGGACCTTGTCCTTCCTGGCTGTACAGGAGAACATGTTTTCACATTAATGAACAAAAGGGAACAAAAAAGAAGTCAAACAACAAAAAAAGAGGGGTGGGCGGTAGTTTGAAGATTCATCATGGACCACACAGCCTGTGACATGAGCCTGTGTTTTTGACATTGTGATATGGCAGAAATTGTGCTAAAGGGCTTAATGTGGGATGATGTCATTTATTTTCGGCTGCAAAATGCTGATGCTATTTCACAGCCAGAAGGTGGATTATGCTTTAAAATAGAGCCCCAGTTGATTATTTGTGTGTGTACATTTCTTTTTTCCCAACAAAGCATTCCTGGCTTTAGCAAATAATTCTGAAATCATCATAATTTACCCAGCCTCGCAGTAGCAAATAAGAGCTATTCACCAAGCTTTGTGCTGCTTTGCTCCAGCTTGCTGTATAATTTAGCGGCTTAGAATCCCTATTTTGTTAGAAGAAGTACCTCATTATTAATTTTCAATGAGCATCATAATGTTCTCTGCGTCATGTCAGCTCAGTTTTAAAATAACACTTTTGTCTTCTATGAGAAGATAGAGTGTGCGTTGCATAATACCTGTTGATAAGCCTTAAATAGGAGAGTTTCCCACTAAATAAATACAATTTTAATTTGCTCATGTTTATAACTTGGTAATTTCTTTCTGACTTAATCTATTAATCTTTTGGTCTAAACAGTGGGAAATAAAATATTGAAAAATGGGCATTAAAGTTTCCACAACCCAAGGTGATAACTCGGTTTGTGTTGACTGTTAAAACTCAAAGACGCTGAGCTTAAAAGGCTTATCAACTTTCACGATTGATTTTCTCATCGATTGCTGTCAGCTCCATCTATCCGCGCTCTTGCAAGTGTAGTCCTACAGTAGATGCATGTATTCATGTGCCCGTGGGCAGCATCTGCATATGTGTGGACGTGCTTGTGGATGGCAAAGAAAGTATATGGAGATCAATGCAAGCAGCTGTTCTCTCTACACTTCAAACGCTGCTCTGTTGTTGGCGCCGCAACGCTCCGGCAGGCCTCGCGCAAGGGGATCAAAGGCTAATGAGAAAGCCATCGCACAAACGCACCCGGCAGACCCATGAATATTGATACCGCTCAGGAGGGAGAGAGAGGGAGGCAGGGTATCTTCCCTTGCTCAACAGCATCCAGAAAAGTGTTTTTTTTTTTTTAAAAAAACCAAAAAAAACCAAAAAACAAGAAGAGGGTGGGGGAGCGAGTGGGGGGTCCGAATGTACATCAGAAATGCTTTGGGGTTTAAACCATGCTAGAATAGGTGGACGACTGCTGAAGAGGTTGACGACAAACCTCCCCTAGAATGGGTAAAACGCTCGTGTTGCTAAAGCCGTCAATACTTTAACTTGAATTTCAATGAGCAGAACATTAAACTCCTACAACAACTCCCACGATAGAAACAACCAAATCCAAGAACTGCTAATATATCACCAGAAAAATCAGTGATGATATATATATTTAAAACTCAAGCGAGATATATAATCTAAAACCGAATCCAAAAAGTCTCCTTTGCCTTTCTTTACTTGAGATAACATGAAAAATCCATCTCTAAGTAGCTGGAGTGGTGGACCAAAGCATTCTGCCTGTGCAAAGCTGTTGCTTCAACACATGCCACTGTGTTGTGCAGTGTACCACTGCCTGCAGGTGACATGTTCCCTCCATGTTTCTTACTGCAGGGTGGTTGTTTGTCTAGCAGCACCTCCTAAGTGTCATTCCTTTGTTTCTCCTGCTGATCGATGGCTACATGGCATTTTAAAATTAGGTCCTTCTCCAGCGTTCTCCTTCTGAACATCTTCCCCCGCCCCCTCTCTGGCTAAGTTTATAAAAAATAAATAACTAAAACAAGCCAAAGGTGACATTTAGGATTTTCGCCATCCACTAAATCCAGGTGAAGGTAAAGAACACAATGAAATGTTTTTCTTGCCGGTATGTCACTTCAGACCATTCCTGCTGTCAGCAGGCGGGCAAATAGACACTGGAAGGAGGACAAGTAAAGAGGCAGGCAGGCAGGCAGTCAGGCAGGGAGCGGGAGAGTGATGTAGCAGGAAGGCCGTCTACAGTATGTGGGCGACTGTGCTTCCATCTTGACTTGGGGTCGTAAATCAAGTCTCCCCTCCGGGGCCTATCTCCCATTCTCAGACCTTCACAACAGCTTGTTCTCCAGCCTGTGACGGGAAGGGCTGTTGTCACAGCAGCTATCGATCGTGTGGGATGAGTTTGTCGGACCGGGGGATTTCACCCATCTGAGCGTGGTCACTGAAGTGTTCTGTCTTGTCTCTGTCTGTCTGTGGGCTACATGTTCTGTCGAATGCCAAGTCATTACGAGCTCCTGTCAGCTGAATCTCGCACAGTTTTGGTCCAAAATGTGAGCTGCAAAGTAAAAAGAAGGACTACAGATGTTTTGGGTGATAAAATTAGAATGCTTTATAGACTGGACCTTTTAAAGATATTTTCCTCGGTCTGTTAAAACTTCAATAGACTGCTAGGGGCAAACTATTTGATCTGCTTTCAGACTCAAATAGCCCCAAACTTATATAGAATAAAAAATAGTTTAAAGCAAGAACAAGTAGTGTTAAGAGTTCTAATTTAACCACTAAAATGGTTTGCAGCCTTCCAAATATACCTATTGCTTTCAGCAGATTGCATAAGAAACATTTGCTATGATGTTATGTCAAAAACATTAATGTATTATGCACAATGGTTTTGTATGGAGCAGACTCTGTGATGTCCACTCCAACAAGAGAACAGAATAAGAAATGCCGATGAAAAGGCAGATATGCGAAGGACAGTTATTCCCGTTATCTTAACTGCTAACGGTGGCTAAAACGGCTGGAAAGCAACTCTTATCACCACCACCAGCAGCAAACCTCGATAGAAATCATGTTAGGCTGCAAAGAAAACCAACAAACAAACAAACAAGCAAAGCAAGAGTAGATTTGCAGCACTGGAGACAGTGCTTGGAGTGAAGGAATAAATAAATAGGAAAATTACATTGGCATTAGATAGCATACATTAATGGCAATAAGTGGACAGAAATCAGATAAAAAAGTATCTGTTTATTTCTTTTTTAACTTCTTTATTTTTTTTGTGTTTACCCATTTATGTGTATTTAATATTACAGAAGGCTAATGTGATGTGTAACAATAAGTTTATATTAAGAATAAGATTATATTTTTTAAAATTATTGCCCGCTTAGGGTGAGGGCTTACAAAAATAATTCAGTTACTGTTTATGATTGCCACGTCACAGCTGTCTGCCAAACTGTTTACTGGTCAATTTCAGATCATCTGTTAACTGTTTATTTAACTTAGGGTCACTGGAGCCAATCCCAGCTGTAATAGGGAAGGAGGCAGGGTACGCCTTGGACAGAGCGCCAGTCCATCACAAGGCCAACAGAGGCAGAAGGAGCAAACACTCACATACACACCTACCGACCACTGAATCACCAGTTAACCTAACAAGCGTTTCATTGCTGTAGGAGGACACAAAGGCCCGAGCTGCAAGCCAACAGTACTAACCACACCACCACCCCAAGCTCACTACAAATCCAGCTACACAAACACTTTCTGGCTAAAGATTATTGATTGAATTTGTAGATACATTTTGCACATTCGGGTTGCAGTTAGTCAATTAGCATGCCTTAGCATATAGTACACACTGGAACTAGCAGTAGCTAGCCTGAATGTTTTCAGGCACCTCTTAAACTTATAAACGTTACGTCTTCATATGAGGTTCATATCTTAGGAAAGCATACTATGTGCAATACCACGCCTAGTACCAGTACTTATATAAAAGGTATGTGGCAAAAACTGCTTTTAGACATTTTGACCATTGATGTTAGTGGTTAAGGGAGATTTTATAGAGAGAAGAACCTTCCTCTGCTGCTAATTTACATATTTAAGAGGTTTAATGGTGGTCCTTGATAGTCTTAGCACTTTAACACTTAACATGTATTTTACTAATCATCTTGTATTTATTTTTTTTGATTGCTTTCATGCATTTTGCAGATATTTTTGATAT